GCTGTCATCTTGGGTACAGTGCTGTGGCATCATAGCTCACAGTAATCTCCAACTCAGGCTCAAGCAATCCTCTTGCCGCAGTTTTTCTATTTTTAGTAGAGATGGGATCTCACCTTTGCTCAGGCTGGTCTTGAACTCGTGAGCTCGAGCAAGCCACCCGGTACCTTGGCCTCCCAGAGTGCTAGGCATCCATTTCACAATTGTGCCTAGGCTCATGCTGATTTTTTCAGAGATTGATATAGATGCTACCTTTGCCATTTGTAACTTTTTAAATAGATCTAGGCAAATAACACCCATGACGATGCCACCAACCTGATCTGCTGGCAGCTTCACTTGGTTCTACAATGAATTGCAGAGAGGCTTCTTTCTTCCTTGAAGAAACTGGAATGGACTTGGGCTGGGAGTTCTGGCACTGAGCATAGTAAAAATACAAGTTTATTAAATTACCAATTCTCATTAACATTATTTGTTTTTAAAATGGGGAAAACCCCAGGTATTTTAAAACAAGAAACCAGCTTATAGAATTGTATACTGAAGTAACTACATTAGAAAACAGTTTGACATTATCTGATAAAGTTAAAATTTCCTATTTTTTCAACAAGGTTGCTCTGAACAATAAAAAACTACATTAGCAGGAGAGAGAATAAATAAATTACAGTATAGCCATATAATATTACATATATAGCAGTGAAACTATAATATGAATAAATGATTATTTTAAGCAATAAGAGCAAGTTACAGAAATATACATGCAATCCTTATGTAAAGTTCAAAATATATATAAGGACATGTAAAGCAGTATGGCACAGAGGCACACTTTATGGAGAAGAGTAGATAACATGGGAGGCCTGATCATGTTATCTTTTAAGGGACAGTTACAGGGCTAGCCTTTGGTTGGCATCTGGAGATTTGGCTTTTAAGACATTCTGTCCATCATTAACCGATTGCTATACTAGTCTGCCTAGACTGTGTAAGAATGTGATTTATAGTGAACACCTGCGTTCTTTCCTTCTGAGAGTATAGAATTTTGGATTAGCCCCCAATAAAAATGGACAGAGTTTCAAAAGGCTTCCCTGGGGAAAAAGACTATGCTCATGTTACTGCATTTCACTGTTAAGGAAAGAATGATGAACATAAAATTCCAGAGAGTGGTTACCTCTATGAAAAAGCAGAAAGTAGAATAGGATTGGAAAAAGAAACATCAATGCTTCAAAGGTATTTATATTTCTTACACCAAGTAATGGGTATATGAATGTTCATTTATATTATTTTAAAAATTGTATGTTTTTTTTAAATTTGAAATATTTCGAGCCATCAGTTTAATATTTAATAATTTCATTTCAAATGTACATATCCTAGAGAAATTTATTTTGTAAAATATACACAAAAAGGCATGAACAAAGATGTCTACTGCACCAATGTGATAATGAATAGATAGGACCAACCTAAAACTCTACCAACAGGGGAATAAATAAAGAACAAAGTCACTACAATGCTATTTAGAGGATACACTATGGAATTCAATTAGAGCAATATGTTGAATAAAAAGAGTAATAACTATAGATATGAGAAAGACCATAAAAGAAAGTTAACTATATTCATTTAGTGAAAAGAGGAAATATAAAAGCCCAAAACTAGCTCCCCCCCAAAATGGAAAAAAAAACCAATAATCATGAAATAAAGTGATAATCACAAACATCTCTACCAAATGGCCCCAACCATATGTTTCACAAATAACCAAAGTTTGAAGGAAATGGTCATGTTTGCTTAATCAAGTTTTCCCAAAACACAGATGAGACAAACTACTAATTTATCTTATGATGTTAGGTTGTGTTTCAGTTAAAACCTAAGAAGGCATGTCTTGTTTTACTTTTTTTCTCATGCAGAAAATCTTTAAGATACATAAAGTCTTAGGTCTGATTAACCCATGTCATTTTTAAATCAAGTAAGCAAACTCCATTTCTTATGTGGAAGGCTTTGGCAAGGCTTACTGTACAGAAAAACCTTTCCTGGAAAAACTCTAAAACCTATAAAGTATTTTTTGGAAGCATCTATCTGAAGAATGAGAGGTTGGGCATGGTGGCTCATAATCCTAGCACTTTTGCAGGCCGAGGCAGGTGGATCACCTGAGGTCAAGAGTTCAAGACCAGCCAGAGTAAGAGGGAAACCCTGTATCTATAATATAGCCAGGTGTTGTGGCAGGTGCCTGTAGTCCCAGCTACTTGGGAGGCTGAGACAAGAGAATTGCTTGAGCCCAAGATTTGAGGTTGTTGTGAGCTATGACACCAGAGAACTTTACTGAGGGCAACAAAATGAGACTCAGTATGAAAAGAAAAAAAGAAAAAATTGATAACTTAAAAAAAAAGAAATAATGAAACTAAAAACATGCATATGAGAGAATCAACAAAGCCAAACTTGGTTTTTGAAAGACCCAAATTGATATACCATGACAAGACTAATCAAAGTAAAAACTGAGGCATAAATAACCAATGTTATTTTTAGGAATGAAAAAGAGGACATTGCTATAAATACTGAAGACATTAACAAAACTATAGAAGAACATCACAAACTTTATCTAATAAATTTGAGAATTTAAATAAAATGAACAAATTCCAAGAAAAAAAATTTAGAACACAAAAAAGTTGAAATTATATACTATTACTAAGAAATAGAATCTAAATCCTTCATGGTCTATACCTTGATCTAGTTAGGAGCTGTAAATAAATATTCATCAAAATACACTTAAGATTTGTACACTTTATGCTATATTTTATAGAAAAACAAAAATGAATTCATACGTTAAAACTTTTTCCAAAAAGGTAACTATGAATTCCATCAAATATTTAAGAAATAATAATCTGACTCATAAAAACACTTTAAGAGTATAGAAAAAAGGGAAACTGAACAACTCACTTTCTAAGGCTAGCACAACATGTAGAGTAGAAACTTGATTTTCAACATTTATTTCTTTTGTGAATTTTTGTTTTTTTGGAGACAGAGTCTTCCTATTGCCTGAGCTAGAGTGCAGTGGCCATATAATAGCTCTCAGAAACGTTCAACCGCTGGACTCAAGGAAACCTCCTGCCTCAGCCTCCCAAATTGCCAGAATTATAGGTATGAGCCCCATGCCTGGCCCTTATTTCTTATATATTTAAAGTTATGAATTCCCTCCAACACTATTTTAGTTAAATCTCAAGAGTTTTGAAAAGTCATATTTTTATCATTCTGTTCACAATATTTCCTATTTTAAATGATCCAAAGTCATTTAGAATTCATTGCAATAGACCTCTCTGCTTAGGAGAAGATGTAATAACACCTGCTTAAGAGCCAGATGCACACTCTTGCCTACAACAATTTAAAAAACAGACAAAATACAAAAGTATTGAGAAATTTGGCATCAAACAAAAGCAGAGAGATCTTTGAGAGATGGGGAACACATGAAAGGAACCCTCTGCTCTAGCTTACAGGCTGGAGAATTTCAGGGTATGTACAGGGAGGGTAAACTCTCAGTTGAAAAGCCAAGACTGAGGGTCTAGGAAGGCCATGGTAGTTAGAATTTGCTATTATTAGACAAGAGGTAACTACACAGAGATAGAACCTCAGAGATGTACAAAAGATCTCCCTCAAACATTCAATTAAATATCGATTACAGCATATGTTGTGAGAAAACCACATAGGACCAGGGAAAGAACCACCTAAAGCCAGAGGGGGAATGTTCTGAGTCACAGAGACCTAGATAAAGGACTACACTGAGTAACTAGACTGGAAAACTTCCTTAAGTCAGGGACCTAGAAAAATGACTACACTGACTAACTAGATTGGAAAACTTCCCTAAGTCAGGGAACATTGAGTAGAGCACACAGAGGTATTTTGCCTCAGAAGGGAAGAAAATTAGCTATGGATTACTTGCTGCTACTCCTTATTATTTCTGCAGCTCCCCATAGATCTAAAAACATAACTTGTTCTGCATTTCATTTTTGTAAATTAGCTGTTTTAGTGTAAGTGTTGGCCGAACATAACTTATTCCATTCTACTTAGAAGAGGAACCTCTAGTATAAAAGCCATAGAACATTTTAAGAATGACGATCTTATCATCAACACAGACAGAAACATCTTCACTATAACAAACTCAATCAAAAAGGCTAATACTGTATGACCAAGTTAAGTTTATTCTACAAAAGTTAAGTCTATTTAACTTTCAAAATCAATGTAATTTATCACATGGCTATCTTTATTCACAGGAGCCAAGGGGCTATGTGTGTGTGTGTGTGTGTGTATAATATGTTCATTGCCCATTTATAATTTTCTAATGAATGTTATTTCTAGACTATATGACTTTTCAAATTAGTATCATGCTTTTGAATAATTTACCTTAGATCATTAGCTTCAAAACCTCTATTTGAAAGTCTACTATTTTAATATAATTAAGTCAACCAATACTCTCAAGGATTGGTTTCCCTTTACATCAATGGAGTGTCTTCAGTTTTCAGAAAGCAACCAAACTTGTCAACCTGATCAGCAACTTCCATAACTACATTTTTTTTTTCTAAAGACCTAATTTAAGTATTATCGTAGGAGAAAATAAAAATGATTGCTATAATTTGATAATTCTAAGTCCCAGGACCCCAAACACAGAAAATGTCAAGATAGAATTTTCACAAAATATCTCCACATTTTATAAAAAGCCAATGGGAATATAAAATCTTTCAATAATAAGACTTATAAACAACTAACATGTACATAGGTATATTGTATATAACCGCATTCATTAATATGTTAAGCCTATCACAGTTCTCCTTTATGACTTACCTTTTGGCTTGATGACTGAATATAAATGTTTTCTACTTTAGGTGTTGAATAAAGCTGTGATTTTGTAGAATCTGAACTAAAGTCATTGACAAAACCTAAAAAAAAGTATACAATTTTTGAAAACAAAATACAGTGTAATATCTATTGGTTACAATTAAAAGTAGAAGTAGCTCTATGACACACGCCAAGTACTGCCTGTTGACTCTAAACACAACTGGCTTAAATCGAGCACAGACATTAATTCAATATTCAAACGTTCCTAAAAAGTATGGGGAACTAAATAAGGCAAACACAAATCCTAAAGTAGCATATGTCAGGTCTTCTTTCAGAGCATGGGTAGAAGAGATTCTCTTTCCCCATTGCCCTTACTTCTTGGCTGGCCCATTCTCTTGTCTTAGAAAAGTTTTTGCCATAATTCACCACTTCTTAGAAAGGGATGTGACTCACTAAAGATAACTTTCAACTCTCTAGTAACTCCAAGAATTCTGCACATCTATTTTTATTAAATGAAATAATTTCTCTGTATATGGTAATTATGTATGCACTTCCAGATTACAGAAATATAATGTGAATTAAAGGGAATGACAAATTATTATCAAATCGTCAATTTTTGTTAGTATTATCCTAGGTATACCAGAAGGTACATGAAGGATTGCATAAGAACTCAAAATTCCATGGAAAATATTTTGCATATATTTAAATATTAGAACATATTTACTCCATCTGATATGAATTTATATGACAAATTTAGATTTTCATCCATCTTAACCCTCAATACCAATCCAAAAAGGAAGCCTTACTTTTTTCTTCGAAATAGTTTTGTAAGATTTCCAGTATGTTCTGGCCTTGCTCTGGGTTAATGTCAGGTGCCCTAATAAAAAAGAAGAGAATGAAGAGAAAAAGTAACCTGTCATTTCTATAAGATATTTGTGATTTATGTTGCCATCCACCTGAAAATTCCACATCTCCTTATTAAGAAACGTTAATGACTTAATAGCAAAACTTTTTTTTATCTTTTTTAGAGATGGGAGTAGCTTTGTCATCCAGGCTGGAGCACAGCGGCATATTCATTAGCTCTCTACAGGCTTGAACTGGGCTCAAATAATCCTCCTGCCTCGGCTTCTTGAGTAGGTAGGAATGTAAGTGCATGTAACCATGCCCAGCTAGTCTTTTTCTTCTCTTCTGTTTTTACTATTTTCTTTGGAGAGATGGAGGGCTTACCAAGTCATGCAGACTGGTCTCAAATTCCTAGCCTAAAGCAATCCTCTCATCTCATCCTGCAGGCACAAGCCATCATACCAGGCAGAAAAATAGCTTTACTATCTGAAAACAAAATAAGTACTTGAGGGTCCAAGAATAACTTCAAGTAAACTCTTAACTTTATAAGTGGTATGTCAAAATAATCTATATTGACAATTATATTCCTTAGACAACTAGCCATGTGTAAAGCTATTTTAGATTACTTTTATATCTCAATAAAAACAAATTTTCTGGAGAGACTCTGATTGGTTCTGTGACTTTTCAGTTACAACCCCTAAAATCTATAAATAACATACTCTTCCCTATAAATTCTCAAATGTACTTTTGATTCAGTATCATTAATCTTAATAGCAGCTTATAAAGCCGTATAAATTTTTTTTTTTTTTTGAGACAGAGTCTTAGGCTATCGCCCTGGGTAGAGTGCCACAGCATCAAAGTTCACAGCAACCTCAAACTCTTGGGCATGAGAAATCTTCTTGCCTCAGCCTCCCAAGTAGCTGGGACCACAGATGTGCGCCATTACTCCCAGCTGGTTTTTTCTATTTTTAGTAGAGATGGCGTTTTCTCTGTTTCTCAGGCTAGTCTCGAACTCTTGAACTCAAGAAATCCACCCACCTCGGCCTCCTAGAGTGCTCGGATTACAGGAAGTAGAAAATTTTTAAATTTAACCTTACTATGAGACTGTAGATTCACATGCAGTTGTAAAAATAATGCAGAGATCTAGTTTCCCCCATGTAAAACTACAGCATAATACCACAACCAGGATACTGATATTGATACACATAAAATCCACCAATATCATTCATACTTCTCCAGTTCTAAACTCTATCATTATATCTTAAAAGCAACCACAAATAATATGTAAATAAATAGAAGTGCTCCAATAAAACTGAAAGAAAGCCAATTACAAAACAATTATGCACCCTATGGGCTACAGTTTGCTGACCCTGATCTATAGCGTTCCTATTTTCTTGAGAGTCTGAAAAGTATTATATATGAAGTAACTTAAGATTGCAGGCCATAATACATCATTAGGTCATCCACCACAGAATTTTAAAGCTGAAAGATCTCAGAACCTATCTCAGCCAATAATTATCATCCAAAAGTATACATAAAATGACCTTTGGAGCTTTGCAGAAACACACATAATAAATTATTTTCTCCATACCAAATGACTCAGATCTTCCAGGATAATCCAGGTAATTCTGATGCACAAATTTAGTTATAAACCACTGAGTTCTATATTCTTCATTTTGCAGAAAGGGAAACTGAAACCCTGATTGGTCAAATGACCCACCTTAGTTAGTAAACCTAATTACTCTTGATAACAGAGTTCATACCAAAATATAGGTCACTATTGTCAATTCTGGTCTTAAGACCATCCAAGAATACCACATACAGATACACATACGGCACAACTATAAAACACACCCCTGCTAACACCTGTTTCATAGACGATACTCTTGCCAAAAGTGATAATACAGAGACACTCTCAGAATACATGTCACTAATGTATACTGTAGACTCACTGTCAAACAGAAAGTCTAACTGATAAAGTATGGATGTAATCTTCTGTCGAATAGCAAATGATTCTACTTCATAGAAGACACTTTATTCAATCATTTGGTAAAAGAAATCTTTTTTTTTTTCCAAATTCAATCATTTGGGGGAAAAGAATCACTTATAATCACCAAGTCTTAAAGCTTTTTCAGTATTTTCTCCATTTCATCTTTTCTTCCTCCTCCTCATTAATATCTTAGGAGCAAAGCACCCCAACCTACAAACATCAAACTACTCTTCTTTGCTTTTTTTAAAATGTGGTATCTATGTATGTGTTCACATACAATAGGCCTTTTCCCAAACAGGATTTAAGATGGTTTACTCAAGACTGTAAAAGATGTCTAAAGACTAACATATCTATTTTCTCCCTCACCCAATTCATGTGGTGTTGTTTTCTACTTCTACTCAACATTATCACCACCTTAAATCAGGTCTTCCCACTGCTGACAAACCACGTATGTATTTTTACTATGTTTAAGAGACTTTCTATGTGTGGAATGTACTTTCCCTAAATGTTTAAATCTCTATTCACGGTCCCCGTAAGTTACACCACAACTTTAAAGCTTTCCCTTACTATCAACAACACACAAATCCCTTGCTAACTTCTTATGTGTCTGCCTACAAAGCAAGTTAATGTCTAATTATATACAGGCCTACTGTTTATGACACACAAATTATTACTTCATTATTGTTTCAAGTAATATTTTTGTTTATTAAATTATTTCAGAAATGTACGTATTCATCTTTCTGACAGGAATGAAAAGCTTCTTGTAGGCAAAGAACCTATTTCTATGCCCTGCTTGGGCTAGCAAAGCAGAAGCTCAGTAAATAAGATGCTATTGATAATAACATCTTCGGCTCAGCGCCTGTGGCTCAAGCGGCTAAGGCACCAGCCACCTACACCTAGGGTGGCGGGTTCGAATCCCCAGCCCGGACCCGCCAAAAAACAACAATGACGGCTGCAACCAGGCGTTGTGGCCGGTGCCTGTGGTCCCAGCTACTTGGGAGGCAGAGGCAGGAGACTCGCTTGAGCCCAGGAATTGGAGGTTGCTGTGAGCTGTAATGCCAGGGCACTCTACCCAGGGGGACAGCTTGAAGCTCTGTCTCAAAAAAAAAAAAAAAAAGATAATAACATCTTCACTTAAAACACATGCTTTTCATACTATTACTACTCAATATTTAAGTAGAAAATTCAACTTTATAGGTTATACAACTAAAAGGACCAAAGCAATCCAAATAAGCACCCAACAAGTGCATGATAACGTGCAGTATTTTTCTTTTTGTCCCACTGAATGAGCTACATCTCTAGTTTTACTGTTACATCCCCTCAGAAAAGTGCTCTTCCAATAGGCTTTCACTTAGAATTGAGACTGCTTCCTGGTACTACTATTTTACCAGATGAATTTCTTTTCTCACTGCCTACTTGCATTCTGCTTGTATTACTATTCTCCTGCTAGCATAAAATAGCTAAAATGACCACACCTAATCACTGGTGTATCACTTTCTGCTGGGCATAAAAATCATTATTTTAGTCATAGTCTCTTCTTTTGAAAATTGACTTTGTAAAGACAGCAATAAAAATCATCTTAAAAGCTTATAAAACATAAATAACCTGCAAGGTCGGCAAAATCTTCTTCTGTAGCCATTTTTGAGATGATCCTGAAAGTAAAGAAAATCATCAATTTGGGTTTTCAGTTTAAAATATATTCAAATACAATTTATCTTCAAAGTACTGATATTAACAACTTCACCTCAATCTGGGCAAGCCACACACCAAATATCTATCACCTGGAGGCACAAGTGTCCACAGCTGAGAACTACTTAAGTACTGGAGTGGGATCATCTCCCAACTCCTATTCCCTTGTACTTTAAATAGATTATGACACATAGTCAGATATTAGAGCTCAAAACAGGTTATGAAAGGCAGTTGAAAAATGAATTATAGGCATTTAGTAAATTTTACTCCCTTTCTCTTCTCCCAATGAGAATGGCTTTATCACTTAAGTTAAATACAACAATGTAGCCGTCCACGGTGCAAAGTGCACACCATGCTAGCCTTTCGTTCTTTATGCACATGCATAATTTCCAATAAGAAGAGCTCATAGACGCAACGATTTTCTTAGAAGTGGAGATAAATAAGAAAAGAGACTTTGTTCCCTCAATGAATCCCCAACAACAACAACAACAACAAAAAACAGAGAGAGACAAGGATCTTATAAGCCACAGCAACTACAAGCAGAGCCAGAATCACTGATAAGACCCACAAACCAGCAGGCCCGCAGACCCGCCCCGCCCTGCCGGCAGCCCGCCACCCAACTAAGGGAGCCCTCCAGGGACGTCACTGCTGACTTACGCCTCGGAAACTGCGCACACTGTGAACATGTTGACAAGGGAAATGAGAAAGTCAAATTATTTCAAGACAGATCTGTTACGTAATCAGCCTGTTTCTGCAGACCAGAAAGCCGGGGGCAGAGTGCACCAGCTAGGTGTCTACGTGCTGCGGCAGGAGAGCCCCGAGGACCGGGACCGCAGCGGCAGCGGGAGCCGGAGTGGAGCGAGTGGACAGACGGGCTGAGAAAAGGAAGCCGTGGGCGCAATCCCCACACGACTCGCCTCGGGAGAAGCACTGCAAATTAGCCCCGGCTATCTGCACGATCCCACTTGAGTTCAAACCCCGGGAGCACCTCGGCCGGGAGAGACCTCGGCGTCCCGCCTCCGCCCCGGCCGCGCCTACCAGACCCGACGTCGCCATGTTCCGGCCTAGTGACGCCAGGGCAGGGTTCCGAGGAGGCCCTCACTGGTCACGGCTCGAGGACGAGACGCAGGGACCGAAAGGTGGAAATGACTGCAAAGCGACTGGCCAAATGCCTCAGAGGCGAGAGGCGGCTGCCGCCAAAGCTGAGCTCCTTAAGCCGTCCGCTTCCGGGGCTCACGGTCCTATAACTCCGCCTCAGCAACCTAGGCGCGCGGCGGAGTTTGAAATGAGCAGCACATGCGCACAGAGGACTGTGCGGCCCAATAAGGCAGCGCTGTTTGGGGGCCCGCCCCACATTGCTCTAGGTCGCTGCCCTGCCCCCTGAAGCCGCGCCCCTGTACCGCCCCGTGGAGCTCCTGCCCTGGCAGCCCTTCCCTCCAGCAGCCCCGCCCCTCTTTCCACCACTCTGTTACACCTCCCTCTCGCAGCACCGCGCGTGTAATTGGCCGTACTTTTATTGGAATATACGGTCTTGGGAACTGCCTTGGCCCCTTGAGCCCAGTGTAAAACTTCTGAACAGTAAAAATTTGTAAATAATATAAGTCATAGGTTTGACATTTCAGGCTGCTATTGTTGTATATAAGGTAGTATGAGACCCTAAAAATGATTGGTACGCTGAAACCATGCCAAGAGGTCTTAATCAAAGAGGAAATTCTGGTTGTTTCATGAGCTTTAAATGTATGGAGAAATAAAAAAAGGATAAAACATTTTTTTTACTACATTGTAACTTTAGTATCAATATATTGTAATTTAGATTAGAAACATTAAGAATTAAAGTGCTTTATCTCTTTTTTTAGAAACAGTTATCAAGAGGCTCCGAGCCGGTAGCACAGTGGTTAGGGTGCCAGCCACATACACCAAGGGTGGTGGGTTCTAAACTGGCCCCGGCCATCTAAAAAAAAAAAACAAAACACTGACAACTGAAACAAAAAATAGCTGGGCATTCGTGATGGGCATCTGTAGCATGCCCACCACAATGGGCATGTAGGGGTAGCTACTACATCCTGTAGTAGCTGGGCATCCCAGCTACTCAGGAGGGCGAGGCAAGAGAATCACTGAAGCACAAGAGTTTGAGGTTGCTGTGAGCTGTGAAGGCATAGCACACTCTACCGAGGGCTGCACATAGTGAGACTTTGTCTGAACAAAGTGAAATAAAAAAGTCATCAAGAATTGTTTGAACAGTGCCTGCCTTTTTATCAGCTATAACTTATAATGCAGAGTAAGCATACTCTGCATACCATCTGCTAAATTTGGAACTATAGGCATGGTGGCTCAAGCATGTAAACCCAACGTTGGGAAATTGAAGCAGGAGGCTCAAAAGACAGTAAGAATTTTAAGTTGCAGTGAGCGATGATGATGCGTCCGGGAGTGCAAGACATTGTCTCAAAAAACAAAAGTATATATTGGGCATAACATAGAAGATATTTATAAATTCAAGTGTCTGTAGAAACTTATAAAATGACAAAACTGTAGCTTTTGTCAGAGATTTTATAATAAAAAGTTGGATGAAATAGGAAGATAAAGTATAAGCAAAGACACGGGGGCCAAAATGATGATGTGTTGTTGACACAGGAGATCTGTCTGATATTGAAAACCGTTCATGTTGGCAAAATGGGACTAGATTATAGGGCATCCTCAATATCAGAATAACTTTTTACTTATTCCATAGGTGATGGGGAACTGTATTAATCCAATCAATTACTTGGGATAGAATCCATGATAGCTAGTTTAGGT